TTCAATTTTTGGTAAACTATTCCTTTAACTAAAAGAATTATGCAATCAGGTAATAGCAAAAGAAAAGAAAAAACGTGAAAAATAAGAAAATAAATAGCAAAAAACGCATCTATAATGGACGTAATTTACATAAAAAGGAGGTGTGCTTGCACTGAAAAGAATGTTAATGTCTTAAATTCATAACAGTACTATTACAGCATTTAGCGCCTGGTTAAACTGTATTTTTGCGTATGATTTTGCATAGGCCTATTGCTTTTATATGGTTTAACTGTGAATGTGCCGCTAAGGTTGTACAAATTATTGAATGGACAGCCTTATTTTCATTCACATTCATTTATTTACATTTGGTGTCCACACTAAGCACCAATGTATGATTATTTTAGACTTTATGAATAGTGTACATTAAATCTGACTTACATAGATAAGAAAAATATGTTTAGCTTTTCCTTCTCAGCCTTGTAAAATCATTGAAAGTCTGAGTCACTCTCTATTCTACTGTGGTCATGGTGAAATATTCAAATATGGCTCAAGCAGTTAGAAAGCTAACTATTGTCACCTAGTGGGGAGATACAGAATGACACTAGCAGTCAAATTCAAGCTTATGAATAATTAATCTGATTGCACAGTTGCTGGAATAGATGAAGATATGTGATGTGTGTAAATGCTTCAGTTTTGCTTTGATCAAGCTTCAAAAATGCTAAACAGTCTGATGTCAGCCTTCAAAGTACAACACAACTCTTTCACGAATACGTTTCATTTCCTAAGACAGTAGCAGAGAAACCTCAAATGGGCAGGGCTGTTGTCGAACCACATGGGGACGCTGTCATTGTTTGTTGTTGTGCATCAAACAGGCCTCCAGATACAAATTCAATGGAGTGCTTATGTAACGTCCATGAATGAGAATTTAATTCCTTTTGTTTTGGCTTAACACATCCTAGACCGACACTACACGCAACAAACACACCCCTTGAGCCTGCGGTTTTCGTGCCTGTGTAACGGATCTCTGCTCAAAAGCTCTACGACCGACTACATTTAATTGAGTTTTATTAAATGGTCAAACAGCAGGAACCGTGGGGATTATGGTTAATGCACATTGAGAGCCTTTGTGTTAGCACTGTCAGGAATATTTATTTATGTGTAATTGTAGCTCCCTTCTTGCGCATTTCCAATAGACCTCATGTCAGCTAAGGAATTATTCACATTAAAGCATTTAATGCTGAATAAACTGTCTTAAGCATGTGTTTGCAAACAATAAATATTGGCTCACACTTTATTTTAATATGCTGCACACAGAATAATGAAAAGCTAATATTATTAGCTGCTTTGTAACAATGAACACTGTTTTTTCATTACAACTTTAGTGTCTAATCATATTTTAGATATATATTTTTATTAATTTTTTTGTAGATCTGCCATCATGCAAGTGCATTTTTTAAAAAAAAAGAAAAAAAAGCAAAGCACTATATAGGAATGTAAAACACTACATAGGAAGGCGAGGTTTCCTTCTATAAATATGATAAATATGAAATTACAGTATTTATCAAAGAAAGCAATTCGCTGATATTTGCGAGTTCTCTTGAGTACATCTTCTTGAAAATAATTACAGCGGTAATGACTTTTTCCCGGTAATGCTGGGAGAGAAGGGAACAGAAGCCGGAGACATGTAGGCCGATCAAATATCCGCGGCCAGGCCTCCCGGTGCGCTCTCCGCAGCACGCTACGGTCCTATATCTACACGGCTGATAAACCATTAGCCAGAGCCGTGACTCACTCGTTGATCGTAGTGAAGAGCGCTAGCGGCCAGCCTGGCCCAATACTCCCAATTGTTCCCCTAATATCTGTCTAATGGCCTCCATTTAATCTAGGGAGGATGATTATTACGTATCCGCCCCCCCCTCCCTTTTCCCATGGCCGAACACGCAGACATACAAAGCCGCAGTCCTAGCAGATGAATACATCTCGGTCATCAGTGTAAAGTAAAACATAATCAGTGCATTTCCCTCCAGTGCATGAGTATGCTAATGAGTTAGCTTCGCTGCGTAATTTTAGATTATGTTCCGATAGCTACATGCAGCGAGGGTGTTTGGAGGTTTGTCTCGGGTGTTGTGCGATCGCTCTCTGTGGTTTTCTCCATGTCCATTGAATGGGTTTTTATGGGTTTACAGACAAAGTGAAAGCAGATTATTATCCTACATGTAATTAGACTAAATTCAGTAACCTTTATGGTTCTTATACAAAAAATACTTCAGTCTCCCTGCCTAGTCAAGATATGCTGTTCTATGGTTCAAGATGTGGTTTGTTCAGCTATAAAACTAGCTTGTTTGGGATGGAAGAGAGGTTAAACCATCTTTAACCAGCTCAAACCAGAAAACAGGCTGGTTTCTTTCTGGGGGGTTTTCCAGCTAGACCTACAGCCCTCACTTCCATCTTATTTTTTCACCTATTTTATTCATTTCCATTCTTTCCCCCCTTGCAACATTCTGTCTGTCGTCCTTTTCTCCTCGTTCCTTGACTCTAAAAAAAAAATGCTGGGTTAATTTTGTTTTATCCCAAATGCTGGGTTCAGCCTGTTGGGTCATTTTATTGGGTTGTTTTTAATATTTTTACCCAGGTGCTGGGTAGTTTTTCTGTAACTAACCTGCTGGGTCATATTCAACACTGGGTTATTTTTTTCTGCCCAACCACTGGGTTGAGTCTGTCTCCGTCGAAACAACCCAGCTGCTGAGTTACAGTCAGACCGGGCTTTTTGAGTCCACATAGAGAGCGGTTCTCAGCACCGCCACCGCTGCTTTGGTGCACTTCAGCAAAATAAGTTTGTATACATTTTATTTAATTTATAAAGTCTTGTGCTGTAAATTATATTATTTTACGCCACGCAACACAAGGACTACATGTCAGTCAGCAGCAGTCACTTCACACGATGGAAACGGCTTTTGCCTTGGATAACATAAATGGATTTTATTTGTTATAATAATGAGTTTAATTTAATTTGATGTTAAAATATGTTCTCTAATCTCAGTACTGTTTGTTTATGGGCATCTTTCAGCTACGAGTGAAACGTGAGGCCGTGGTCTGAAGTTCGCAATTCCCCGGGAACAGCAGCCCTTCACCACACTCATAATGGTGCTTAAAAGGTTCTTCACAGCGATGTCATAGCGATGCGACACACTGCACGAGAATTAGCACTATTTCGGTAAAAAGTGATTACAGCGAACGGTTGAATACACTTAAATTAAAATGCTACTTTTAAATGTTACATTTTATTTCTAAAATGCACGTTGACCGAGTTTAAATGTATGTAATATTGTAAACTATGCTGTATTCACCCAAATAAATTCTATTTGTCTTGTCTTGCTTAAAGGAGACATATTATGTCCCTTTTTACAATATGTAATATAAGTCTCAGGTGTCCCCAGAATGTATCTGTGAAGTTTCAGCTCAAGATACCCCTACAGATCATTTATTATATCATTTTGAAAATGCCTATTTTGACTGGAAGCTGATTTAGTGCATGTCTCTTTAAATGCAAATGAGCTGCTGCTCCCCGCCCCCTTTTCCAGAATAGAGCTGCGCCATTACAGCTCATACCTGCTTAAAAAACATCTGTTTTGGTTCTGATTATCATGTTTATCGTGCTGAAATTCATTTCATAAAAAGAGAATATTAGTTTAAACTTCTTATATACGGTTTTCTGAGTGCACACATCCGAAGCACACGGACAGAAAGCGGCTGTCACAGCATGCGAGTACTAAACTAAGTTCTCATTCACACACAAGTTTACGTTAAAAACACACGAGTTACAAAAACAGTCGGTTATGTCTGTGAAGGTAAACTGCTGGGAAATAAATCGCATGTTTGTTTTAGATCTGTGTGGCAGCAGCAATATACAGTAAATAAATCAATAAATCCACTGCTCTGTTGTCTCCTCTGAAGCTGGGACTCTAAATAGTGTTCTGTGCTCATCTGTGCAGCCAAAGACAGAACAGTTAGCATGTTTTGCTCAA